CAGTCTCCTCTTCAGTACAGGCTGAGCCTTAGCTGCAAAAATCACAAGGCACCAGGGATCCCCGGACATGTGCTCAGAGCCCTTGAGCCAAGGGCCTTCAGCTCAGGGACAGCCCATGTTTTTCCATGATGTCTATGAATCAGTAGCAGCGATGACCATGATGATTACAGACTTTTGTTTTGGTCTGGATGTGCCAAAACATTGTTTCTTGGCCAACTCAACACTTTAGTGAAACTAAAGTAGTTTGTCACTTTTTCTGGTAGATGACAGATAAAGCTGTGTAGAATGGATTGAGCATGCAGGTCTCTGTTAGTACAGAATCATGCTTTCACTATTGCCTACCTCTTTCTCTGAGTGTAGATATCCAGACTCCAGGAATATGCTGCCCAGACAAGCTTCATGACATCCTTTTCATGAATGTTGTATTACACTGAGGTTATTACTTACCTCCAGTTTTTGGTTCTCTCAGGAAGATCTAGCCCATGGCTCCCAAAACCCCTCAGACTCAGTTACTTTATGTCTTGTTAATGAATTTATACAAGTGAAGCAGTGACAATCTCTAAGTGAAAGCAGTTTTACGTGCACTGCCGGAGTACAGTCGAATTAAACTACTTCTAATGTATCTATTCGGGGCCGCACAACAGTTCAAGTACACAAATCCAATACTGATTTCAACAGTGAATATTTGATAAAGAAAAAGAGCTTTTCAATTCTGATTAACTTCTTGTGACCGTGAAAATTGTTTTAGAGATCAAAGAAATTAAGTTCACTACATTTGTTATTCACAAAATACAGATTCTTTCAGAGAACCTTATCAAACTGATCTCATTATATGCTATCTCTAAGTCATGTTATGCAGTCTGCTACTTAGCAACTATTTCCCTGGTCATGAAGTGTAATGCCACAGATGTAATGATCAGGCCATAGACAAGTTCATGCCTTTGTATGAATAAGATAGATGGTAGCTCAGTCTGGGCTTGTACCCGCGTTAGTCCCTTAAGGTGGAACATCAAACTACAGACATTACGGCCCAGTCAGTCACTCTACACTCTTTATGAACTAGGGAAGCTAGGGCATGATTTATCACATCCTAATGTAGATACCTAAAATAAACTGGATTAATTATTCTCCGCTTCTCTCCACAGAACATAAAGGGAACCTACAGTGATGACTCCGAACTCCAGTGATGTCATCAGCATTCAGTTACACAGAGACCACCCTTAGTGTTAAAATGCTTCTACTTCAGCTCAGTGCTAGACTAGGTAGCACTGAACTCCTGCGCTGGGCCGAACTCCCCCCTCTTCTTTTTCTTTTCCCCTGGTCTGAGGTCATTTTGCAGTGATCTTCCATCTCAGCTGATCTCTTGCTGTCTGACTTTTGAAATTAATATCCTCAGCAAATCATTCAGCTCCTGCAGAGCACATACAACACAATCAGTATAATTACTTCATGTCACACCTCAGTTGTCACTTCACTTTAATGGACTGCAAGTAAGATGAACTTGAAAAGTGCTCTAAGTTAATGTTCTTAGAGTTTCTATTTTAGACTCTTCTGAAAGATGATATATGCAGAAAAAGAGATTTCATCCTAGAAATTATTTATCTATATTATAGTAGAAAGAATAGGGCCAACAGAGTTCAGAGCTCTATGACCAAGGCACCGTTAAAAAACATTCAATGTGGATAAAGAAAGGGTAGGACAGGAATGATAGGACTGATTTAATAAGTGTGTTTATGATATAGAAATGTATATATGAAGTAGTCACCCTGACTATGAAGTAGCATCCTGTACTTATGGACCATGGAGTTTAGCATACAAGTCACCTTACCTTGAACTGGAGACCGTGGTTGGTGAGATGAATCTCAGGCTGTTTCCTTCTGCTGCCTTGCTCAGCTTTACAGCAAGGTGAGATGCCCAAGGACATGGGTAGACCTGTGTCACAGCTGCTAGATCTGCCTCCCATACCAGCCCATTCAGTGCTTCAACATGTCTGGCTTTTTAAAAGTAAGTTATTTTACACCAGCATTTGATGGATAACTGTGTATTTGATGTCAGAGTACCGTAATCTCCCAATTTATGTCACTGCCTCTGCCACTTCATAATCACACTGCCCCCATCCTTCCTTCCTAACATTTCTCCATGATGTCTCATGCACAAACATATCCAGAGTATCTTAAATCTCATCTCTTACTCTACTATTTCAATGTCTCACCATTGTCTTTTTTGGATCCAGCTTTGAAACCTTTCCTGAGAGCATAACAACTCTGTATTTTGGAAAAGTAGAACTGAATAATTTAAAATCCAGCTAGGGGAAGAGTCCTTTTGCTCCTCTTTTATATCATAATCCAGTTTTAGGACATCTACCAAGGCAGCATGCCACACACCTCAACTCCTTCCTCTCCTACAGGTGATTCAGACCCATCATTCCTACCTTCTTGGCAGGAGTCCTCGGCACCCAGCCACTGGCAGGGCTGGGTGGGGGCCACTGGCAGCCCACAGGCAGGATCTGTGCCTCAGCTCTGTAAGAGGGCAGAGGGAGCAAGGGGCTGCAGCCCACTCCCACCACCCTGCCTGGGCTCACAGCTGGTTTTGCACAGTGCGTACTGTTCAAGGTGAAATATTAGTTTTAGATGGGCAGGGACTGATACTGAGTGCTTTTACTCTGTTGAAACTCCACACATAAACACAAGAACAATTTTTGTCCTTACAGAGGAGATTAAAAGCTAAACAGAAAGAACTAATGCCCCTGCAGGTTTGGAGTTACAAAAGCAACACTGCACTTCGAATTCAGTCAGATTAATTTTGCCCTAAAAGTCTCTCAAAATACCTAGTAATTTAGAAAATGAAAGTTATTCCAATTCTAATACTTCTATCTTTTTCCCAGCACATCCAGCATTTCTTCCTCCAAGGACAGTGGCAGGACATGAACTACTGGACTAATTCAGCTTCACTTCCCTGTGCTGCAGAAAACAGAGAGCAGCTTAAATTCAGTCCTCGCTGGACTCTCTTTTTTCACTTACATGATAAAAGACTTTAATCTGCATTTATATACTTAAGAGCTAATGCTTTCATTATGGTATCTCCATTAACCAGATGGTTCCATCTGTCAGTCTGCACAGGCTGTGAGACCTTAACATCCTATTCACCATTAATTGTCTCTGGCTGCAGAGTGAGGATGACACAGACACTCAATACAGGATGGAAGAGGCAAGCTAAAACTCAGACATGAATCTCAAAACCCAGGCACATTCAGGTACCCAAACATGGGAATCCTGGGATCCTTGAGGAGGCGATCTCCGCCCTATTTTTAAAATGCTGATGGTCTTCCTCAGCCCATATACATACTTTTCCAGCTGCCGGCTGTGATGTGGCCATGACACTAGCTCCCCTAGCACACTGCCATGATTTTCAGCTTTTAGAGTAGACTTTGGCCATTCTCCTCTCCTGGACTAACCCAGTGCTCTTATGTTGTGACATCTTCTTGTGACGCTTTTTGCCAAATGGTATTATGAGGCAGGAGGAAAACCTAACCTGGTCTTGGACAATCTTGTTGCTTGTGGGAAAATTCCTTCTTAAGCCCTTCTGCCAACAGTGCCCAGGTGTTTCCTATAGCAGAAGTGCCCCTAGGAGCATCGTTTGCACTCAGTGTGATCCAGAGGTCCTACAACTGTTTGACAGGCATAACCTCAATGCAAAACCGCTCCCCTCCCACTCTCCTCTTGCCCAGCCACCTTTTCCCAGACTGCTCCCCTTCTAAGCAGGGGATGAGCAAAAGGCAGTGCTTTGTCTGGGGCAGCACTCATTTACTCTGTACCTGGACCAAGCAGTCCTAATCACCAGGCAGTGCTGTTCTTTCAATATTTAGCTGTTCATCAGCTAAATATTTGAGATGTCTAAACTCATTCTAAGATACTTACTCCCCATGGCAGAAATCACACTTCTGCTTTAGAAACTGCTCCAATTATGAGGACACATTTGCATGTGCATCCCTCAGATATGCAATTCCAGCTGTCAGCACAGCAAACAAGAAACCCTTTTGGTTTTGATCATCTGTGAAAGACTCACACACTACGGGAAGGAGGGAGGCCACAAAGATCCAGATCTTAATCTTTGAACAGCGGCCACTTGGTGGTCCATGAGGCCAAATAAAACCTTTCAGTTCCATCTTCTGTTCTGGCTGCAATAAAATTTGGCAATTGCAGTTCAATCCCTAGAGGGCCCTAAAGGATAACAGTCCACATCACAAAACAGCTGCATGTACATATTTGACCTGATTTGATGAGGCAGTCAGCTTCTATTTGGAGAAGTCACAGTAAGCAGCACAGAAGCTACATGGCTGCCTTCTGGCCCAAAGTAAAAAGTTAATGCTTTGAGGGAAAATGCTTTCTCTGAAATTTATCTGTTTGAAATTCATTCACTACAAGTATCTGGGTATGTGACGAAAACCTATATTAAGAAAAAAAAATACATAAGCCACTAAAACATGTCTAGAGGTCTACTAGACACATATCTACTAGACATGTACTCATGGTCAGTATTTTGCATGAAAAACTTTTGCCTCAGTGGTTTTAACACTTCAACTTAATCACTGTTTTGGAAGTGTTCAGTTATGTTTGAAGATAGTTTTCATAGCTATTTTTAGAGGAAAATGGTAACAATTTTTGTTTCTTGTTCGATTTTACTTCAATGTTTTAAATATTTTTTAAAAATTTTTTCAAGTCATTAGAAGTAACAAAAGAAGATGATTAACTGTGTTGCCACACAATAACAGAAAAAACTGAAATCACATGAAGGTATTATTTAAGCAATATATATGCACCAATGCCCCAACCCCCCATAGCTGTTTTTAAGCACAGCTTGCTTTTTTCCTTGTATAATTTTGAGGAACTCTCCATATTTCTACTGTCGGTAATGCATTTTCCACACTGCTGTGCTTCAGAAGATATATTTTTGATTTATGTTAAGTCTCGGGAATTCAAAAAAGAAAAAAAAAATCACAATTATGCCTAATAAGTCTTTATTTCCAAACAGAAACTGAAAAAATATTCTATTACAGAACAGGTAACAAGTGCAGAATTCTAAGTATGCGATATAACAGTGAAACCATTGCATCCTTGACAAAAAATCATTAGGCACTTAAAACATGAAAACAAAGTACAAATTAAATCAGCCATAATAGATGACTCAACAATACAAATTCATCTTGGTTTTCTGTAATAAAAGCACACACACAGTTGAGGGGCTTTCCATGCCTCCTCCTAAATCCTGCGCAGAGACACTTCTATGTTACGCTGCACACATTCTACTCAGACAATATCAAATTCACATCTGAAAACATAAGCATTGAGAGAATTTGAGAGAACCTGTTTGGAGACAGCAGTAGCAGAGCCTACACTAGCAGCTTCGCACAGAGCTTGGCGCATGTGGAGGAGCACAATTATACCAGCTCCGGGGTGGGGATAAGCTCTGCTTCGACAATTGCATTGAAAAGAATGGAACCAAAATGAATGCAAACAATACACATTTTAAGAGACAATGAAACCTCCAGGCAAAAGCTACCATGGAAACTTTATGGAATTACATTACTTTTTGACACCTGAAACAGTCTCTGAAAAGGAAGACCAACACATTTGCCATCCCTTAAGAGCAGCCCTGTGTAGAACCTCTCCATTGGCCTATCTTCTCACTTGCAGATCGTGAACTAAATCAGAAGCAGAGGTGGCCTCTTAGACCCACCTTAGAAAGGTAAATCTAAGAAGCCAGTGTCCAAACGACTAACAAAAATACCCTTCTAGAAATCAGTCAGATGATACCCTTAAAAATTATTCTGGGTTATATCATTGGGGTTTTGTTAGGTGACATTACATAACTTCCCCCACAGTTTACTCTGGTAGCATAAAATATAATGAGTATTTTAAATAATTTTAATTAGATACTCAAATAAAATAATACTAAGAATATTAACATAAAGAATGTGTATGAAGCTACTATATAAAATGTGCATATAAAACATGCAGAAATATCAGCTGTTATATATGTTTCAGTTTCACAAGAATTTAAGAATGGGTTTGTACCATAAGCACTAATAGTAAATACATCAAGAAGGAGTTTTTAGGGAAATCACCTCACAGCTGAGCCAAGAACTGGGAAGCACAGCAAGCTGTTGAACTACAGACTAGCTGCGAAGAATCTCCTCTTGTCAGGGACTAAAGTGAATAGTGAGGAATTTAAAACCAGCAATATTGTCTCAGACTAGACTATCCCGTCACGATCATTAGCATGATTCATTCTGATGGCATCTTGCCACGATACCATGAATTCATGGTCATGATCATTAAATACTTCCATCGTACAATTGTCTGAATTTTCTCCCTCACTGGAGAAAAGAGGGATGAAAAAAAAGATGAGACACAGCAGTACTTTGTGCAGCAACAAACACCAATGTATTGCTGAAGCCACATCAGGATTCAGCAAAATACAAACCTGTTTATCTGATAGCAACATCAGAATGTTACCCCTTCCAGACTGTTTTCATCCTTAAACCAGTATTTGTCAACACCTGCCACCGAAGGGCAGTTATTGCTCACACAGAGGGATGTGAGCTCAGTCAGTTATCACACATCACAGTACTAAGTTTACTCCTTGGTCTATGTCAAACCCAAGCTTATGCACTCCCATCGTGTTAAGCTCTTGTATATTGCTTGAATTTGCTTGATACTGAGAGTGTACTGACAGGCTGCTACCCCATCTAGACCAGTGCATGGTACCCCAGTAACCTGGGGTCATTACCCTGGTGAGCTGGTGTCCCAGAATAGGAGAAGGTATTTTGAAATGCAACTTTATGAAAGGAGACCACTAAACAACAGCAATAGTTCCTCTGTTTAGTAGCATGCTGCAGATCGTTCCATGCTCTACTTGACCATTATGATAATTTTGAGTCAATTACGAAATATTTTATGAAAATCTGGAACAAATTTTAATAAATATAAATCTGCCCACTCATTGTGCATTGTAGCTGAAAGGTCCAAACAATTTCTCCAGAATACCCTGAGAGATCAGCAGCCTTGGCTGTCCAGAAACTCAGAGAAGGATGACGTTCCTGGCTAAAATGACAGAATTCAAAATCAAGAGAGCCACGCTTTATATGGTAAATATGCACCCCTTTGTCACCGTCCTCGGCTAGTAGACCTAGAGATCAGCTGCTGAAGTACCACAAGATGAAGGATTACCTGGCTGTGAACATTTCAAACTAAGATATACTTAACTAACAAGCTCATGTGTAAGAAATCTACTGCTTCAGAACGTGCAACAAGTGGCTATCAGCTGTTTGAAATAAAGGTGTTTCAGGATAAAGCACTCCACGGAACACTCCTTGGGCTTGATCTCACACAGACTCCTGTACATATGTGGACATGTGCTTTTTGGACATGAGAGTCCCTGGAGGAGCTACTTACTGCACAGATGTTCAGGATCTCACTCTGCAGATTTGCCACATGAGAGTGAATAACAGGACAGAGAAAGACCTCCAGGTCAAATGTTTTTTAACCTAGATTACCATGTCAGTCTGTAGCTCCACCACGGAGTCCATGAGGCTCAAGGTCTAAGTGATCAACTAATCCAGACCAATTAACCAATCCATACATATATATCTGTACTGGATAAAATCAAATAATACATAACAACAGGAATATTTTGCTAGTAATTTGAGAAGCCCACAGAAGGGCTAGGTCACCTAGGTCATTTAGTTTCTTTTCCTGAATCACACAAGACAGAGAATTTTATCTTGACTCAAGCATGGCAATATGGCAGACATCTTACTACTGCACAAAGGAAAGAAAATCAAAGTGAGATTAACTGGTCTCAAAACCACCAGACCTTGTGCAGCTCTGTTCTCTGCAGATGCTGTTTGAGATGCTGGGATAAGCAGAGACTGAAAGCCCAGGCATACTGAATAACGAGCAAGTTTATGCAAGTTTACTGTCAGTGAACTGAGAAATAGCATTTACAGTCAAAGGGTTTTTTTATAGTTATCATTTCTGAGCCTGCTGGTGGTGAACAGCTTTTTAAAATTACTGTAATGGGAAAGAGAGAAGGGGAGCAATAATCACCCAGTGTAGGTACCTAGAGTCCTTAGTGGAGGTACTGTAGAGTCCTTAAGCACCTTCTGTCACAACGGGGAGAAACAGGCTCCTTTCTACCAGAGCAGCCATCATGCTGCGATGCCCCCTTGCAGGAGCCCATCTCTCCTCTCTGACTAGGGAGGTCCCCAGAGATGTTACCTTCCTGACTGGACCAAGATTTCAGGGAACCGCTGGGCCTGTCCAACAGCTGTCAAACAACAAATGGCCCCTGCAGTGTCCCTTCAGTCCCACCTGCATGGTCTCACCCCATCCTTTGCTTTGACTCTGAACTGCCCCTGGCCCTGCTGGCACGAACCAATTTTCTCTTTGTTGCCATGTTACATTTTTGCTGGCTCAGGATGCCAAAACAGCTCAGTGCAGGATCTGACAGGAGCCAGAGACAGTATGAAGGAAGGAGTGCAGTGCAAGAATGAGGACTGGACTGCGTAGTCAGCCATTACAGCTTAAGACACTGTGGAGCTACAGCCCAAATTTAGCACCTCGCATTAGGCAATGTGAATATCCCACCATGATGCCTTCCTTGAGATGTAAACCAAGCCATTTAAAGTATGTGTGACTGTACCACAGCATTTGACTCACTGCCATACAAACATAACCAACACCAAACAGGACTACATAATGCAGTGCTGGATCCTACAGGAAGACACAACATTAAAGATTCAGAGAAAAAGGAATAAAAGCAGCCAAGAAGGCTTTAATCTTAACGATGCTGTGAAACAGTCATGTGCAAGGACACTGTCAGATTCTACAAAGGTAAAGCAGAACTATTAGCATGTTGTCAGTGTTTCTATCTTTAGAAAAACTATTTAATCTTATTATTCATTCCACAGCATGTGACGGCATTGGAGGCCCACAAACCCTAAAAGTTATTATTCCTCATGTGAAGTAGAGGGAACTGAAAGGCCCTGTCTAACTTTTGGTCAAGAATCCTTAATCAAAACTGCACTTGGCTCAGTCTTGTAAAAGTGTTATAAACATTCCCAGCCAGGTACAAAATCCATTTACTCATCACTAATTTGCACAGATGTAAAGTAAATGAGAAATAATTTATTTGGCTACCTGAGAAAACATCCTTTCCCACAGTGAGAGTACTTCAGCAAGTCTTTATCAATCTAACTTAACTGTACCCTGTCACACAGAAACACCGCTATTAACTCGCCCAGTCTGTGCACAAATTAACATGACCCAGCCACCGAGCACAGAGCGGCAGTAGCTATGATAAAGCCGAGTACAAGGTCTGCACTCCTGTGAAGTGGATGCAACTAACATCTCATAATAACTTCATGTCTAGTGCAAGGCCTGAGAAAGCTACATTAAAATCAGGTTCTTAATCTAAAGTCTAATCGAGCATATTTTTATTCTGTGAGGGGTTAAGCGAATTTGTAGGACAGGGTAGAAAGGTTAACAATTCCTTGATACGTTTGTCAGTCCTGTGCTTCAAACAAATCATTGAGAGCTCTGAGAGCGCAGAAGATCAGGTCTTCAGGTCAATGGTAAGTTTAAAGTTTGCTGAAACAGCGCTAAAAGGTCAAAGCATCTCTGTTACAGAGCTTTCCACTTGCTCTCATTTGTAAGTGCTACATCACACTCCTTCAGTTAAGATCTTTTTTTTTTGTCAAGGAAACTAGAATAGGTTTCTTCTTTTTAGCTAAACCTCTCTTAAAATCTCTTCAATAATTTTCCAATTACTAATACATATGTAACACACAGTTGCACAGGAACAGTCCAGACACACAGTAACTTCAGCTCTTTAAGGTGCATCATGGTACACTATACATTTATTCACTGAGATAATGCAATACAGTGTTAACAAATGCTTTTGAAAAAAAGTTGCTTCTCCACTGCAAATAAATTTAATTTTCTGATCTCCACATTTTCTACTTACACACAACCAGGTTTTGCCACTTTACTCATGCTGAGCAATTAACTGAATTTAATCTGAGCAATGAACAATACCCTTTGCATCACGTCTGCACACACACAAAGCACCAGCAATTTCTCTGGATACAATGCAAGATCCTCTCAATCTCTAAAAGATGTATGAATTTTTCCAAGTCAAACCGTGTAGCTGCTACACAGCCAAGATAATCTCACTGCACTACACTAGACTGGAATAAGTTATAGTCCTTGCCTGAACATCCCTGGTGCACCTTTTTCTCTCTGGATGAAATATGACATGGTTCTCTCCTCAACCTAGGTTGTTGGCAGCACCCAAAGGACAACTACATCACTTTGCACAGCTTCCAGCTACAAACACTCAGGGACAGCCTACATGAGTGATTTATGGCATAGGAGGAACTCTTTTGGGAGCAAATTTGTCTTTGATCTATAACTAGGGTCTTAAAGTAGGCAGCCATCCATAACACTTGTAACATGGATGCAGGGTCTTGCAGCAGTCAGATCTCTGCACATAAGCAGCAGATGTCTGCGGCCAGAAACTAGCACAAATTTCACTGCTGATGTGGAGTTGTGGTGCTGGAACCATAACAGATCACAATAAATCAAACCCTTGTGCTCGCCTCTTTCAGTCACCAGCTGGTAATGCAGATGTACCCATTGACTCAATTCTGATGTCTTTGTTTCTGTAAAAAGCCCTACTGATATTCAGAACTCTACTCATGTATTAGTGGTGCTATTCAATGCCCCAAAGCACTATCCATTTTTTAAAAAACTTATTTTCAAAGATTGACTTTATTGCTTTATGGACACTTCTGTTTGGGTAGGAGTAGTATTGGATTCTGCTACCATTATCTTGGAAATGGACCAAGATGCTGAATGTGGCTCAAACAACAGACCTGGAACCATAATGATTGATTCTAATACTTTCAGGATTATTTATGTGATTATAAAACTGCTGCAAGGTAAGCTTTCAAATACTACAACAATATAGAAATGCTGTTACAAAGTATCACTTTAAAAGTTCTTTTGAACCTTATTTTATAAGGTTAGACTACTTAAGAAGGAATTTTTTTGCAGACATAAACCTCGATGAGTGGAATATTGAATGCTCTTTAAATCAGTTGACTGGGGATTTAATGCTACAGTGACAAAAGGAGTTTTAGTAGACAAAATACCTGATAATATCTGACTGTAAAAGGATACTCTATCTTTGAACTGATCATTCAACAGACTCTTGAAAAAGTAACTGAAACCTTTTAACTGAAAGTAGCTATTAAAAAAATGTCGCTTTTTTTCTTTGTTTTTATTTGTTTTTTCTCCTGTGATAAAACATATAAGCAATAACATATAAGCAGCCATAGCTAGGGTAACAACTGCTTGTAGCTCCTGTAAATGTTAATGTGATTCTTTCCATTGGGCTGATATTTCACTTTCTCTTGTCGCAGGATGTTGCTCCAGGTATTCCTGGACCATATGGAAACTTAAAGCATGGGGTTTAGATGAGGTAACTGTTAAGTTCTTCTCTCTGGTACTGGAGAAGAGCTTGGGGTTGACTCTAAGAGGAACATTCTTCTATTAATGCTTAGTACAGTTTTAATACGAGCTATGCTAGGTGAAAAAGAAATAGAATTGATAGGTTTGGTACCTATCATTTTTCTAATGAATAGGCCATCTCCTATGTCAGCTGAGATACAGAGCTGGGATAGGAGGAATATGTACAAAGTCATGCCCTAGCAGGACTCTGAAGACTGCAGCACAGAACCTAGTTTATTGTCCTCATTTGGAGCTGAACCGGACCTTAGACAGGAACATAAGCAACAACATGGGTTTAAAAACAATTATACAGTTCTAGTCCTTCAAATACTTGTACACAAAATTAACATCATTCACATGAGTGATCTCATTAAATCCACAGCATTATCTACTGCCCACAAAATGAAAGCCCATTAAATCCACAGCATTATCTACTGACCACAAAATGAAAGCCCATAAACCACTTGACTATCTCTAACCTGAGGGATTTTTTCGTCTGTGCACCCTGGGACAAACTAAGAATGACATGGCTCTGAATGAATTACTCCTCTGTAGCTCTTCTCATCACCTTTCTCATGTAGACAAATGCTAGCGTTTACAGCATCAAGTTCTTAATTGAAAATGTTCACTGCCAACTCACGCAGCTACCATACAGAGACAATTGCCTGTATTACATGACATTAACAAAACCAGAGATCTTATGTCAAAATATTTTAATGATATTTTAAGAAGCAAAACATAATGAATGTCACATATTGCCACCATCTTGAGATTGTGCTTTGCTACAATTAAACCAATAGTCATGAGTTTCAGAATTTCCCAAATAAATGTTGTATTGTATTAAAAAAAATGATTACTCAAAATTCAGAAATGTAGCAGTCACTGTGTGAAAAAATCACTTCCTTTTCTCCCCAAGTGTAAAATATTTCTCTATTGTAATAATGCAGTTTAATGCTCACAAAATCACATTAGATCAAATCCAACATCGAACTGCTGACATACACAAATTGTCTCCTTAGGATCATCATCCTGGAATTAGAACAATAAAATATGTTACTTATATTTCTTGTATAGTAGGAAAACTTCTTTTTATAGTCAAAATAAGCCGACAGCTTCATCTTCTATTTATGCATTTCGCCTTCTGCACCTGCTTTTTCATCCTTATTTCAGACTGGGAGTTTGTGACATTTACAATAGAGCATCACAGGCTCACAAAATTCTCATGGGTAAACTGGACTGCTAGTCTCTGATCTAGCTCAAGCTAGATCTGCTCTTTCTAAAGGAGGACTCCTTCATTCAAAAACCCCCAGAACTCACCTCACCTGCACCACCCTCTTCAGGCTTCATAAGCTAAAGGGGTCTAACCAGTATATTCATGGGACATGTCCACTGCTAATCCAAATATGGATATGTTTTAAATTATATTATCATAATCATATTTTGAAAGAGCTAGAGATTGAATTTATTCTGTTTCTTCAGCAAGCTAGTTCTGCTGTGGAAAAACCAGACCAAACAAAACCCTTCTACATATGTAAATACTTTGTTATTTGAGTTGAAATCAAACATCAATTCTAATTTGATTTAATCTGTCTTTTTCTATTCTGGTGGGATTTAACTAAACCAGAAGCAACTTATCTCCACTTGTTTCATTACTGACACTATTCTTAACGATTAAACCTACTTAGTGGCTGAACACATGAGCAAAGTGTGTGCTTAAAAGCCCTACCACACGAGTATTAAAGCAGAACACCTTTCTTTCAATGATGTATACATCTAATAATTTCACACTGGATAATATTTGCTCAAGTCAAGGATAGGCTGAAATCTGGCTGCCTGACAGGAATTCAGAGGTCTCTTTATTTTCAAAATGTGGTATCATCTTTCTCAAGGTCATTAAAAGTCAATTGTGGGGCAGTTCATATTTCTTTAGCTACACTGAGACATCAGAAGCATAAAAGAATTTCAGCAGAATTTAAGCTCATGTTGGTATCCTACTGTTAGAAATAGGTTTTTTATAATAGTATTTATCACTTATTTGGATTGCAACAACTTTTAAGATTAAAAAAAAGATCACATGCTGACAGAGTTTGGAACAAAATGATTCTCTTTGATGTTAAGTCCTGAGCAAGTAAGCAGGCAAACCCCTGTTTTACAGGATGCTGCCCTGCTAGCTCCACCTTGAGTGGAGGGCTGCACTGCTGCTCTCTCTGTCAAAAACAGATGGCTTTTAATCCTCTATTTGGAATTAAAAAGCCCAGTTCCAGTTTTTCTTTCCAGGTAAGATACACTCACACTTAGTCGAAGGTTCAGCACTTCTTACTGCCTACGCACCAGCGCACCTCTGCTCAAACTCTCCTCCTTCAGTCCTTCTGCTCAGATGACTGACCAATATTTTCTTCCTCAGGCTCCGAGTCTCAGTTTCGTTCTTTCTTTCTGTGCTTTTTTCTGTTGACTGACTCCACTGAGCAGCTGCTTAATATTACTGTGCTGTATGTCAAAGCAACATATACTCAATCTTGCCTGCTGTCTCTTTCTAGCAAACAGAAAACCTGATGGATTCTTGGTCAGACAAAATTTGCATTTTAGTCAGGCTTCTGGACAATCAAATTTTTGTCAGTCTGATTAATTTATCATCTGGCAATTTTTCTAATTAGGTTTTCCTGAACCAGGCCATTTCCACTCCTTGAACCTACATTTACTTTGAAGCTAATGATATCCCCTTCAGGTTTATCAGGTTAAACCAATGAACAAACAAGACTTCCTTCAGCTGCAGGGCCATACCAAAAATTATTCGGTAATTTAATAGAGAATAATAAAGATCATTATTTTAATTACATTCTAAGGTCTTGCTGATGTCTCATTTTCTATTTTACCATCTGTGATAGGTATGCATCTACTTTAGTGAAGACATATACACGGTCTGTTGAGCATAATCATAAATGTGCAGGAGCAGATATTAAGGAGTTTCCACATTGCTCAGTGCCAGCTCTTCAGGGATACTCTATCTAAAAATTCTCTCTATCCAATAAGAAAAGTTCATCTTTACAATGGAAAGAACGGTGTTCAGGAGCAATACTGCCAAAATGATTCACTGGGATGCAATCATGCTCTCCCTATACTGTTCCAGAACCTGCGACCTGCTTGCAACATAGATGCTTGAAGCAGAGCTGCTTCCTTCACTTCTTATTTATAGCAGCAAATTTTTGTGGGCCAGGAACGTGTGAGGAAAGTTCTGTCTGAGACTTCTGTGGGCACCTAGTGGTGTAAGGAAGCTTCAGCCACCCACTAACAGGGAAGATCGCAGAGCAGGGAAAACATAAAAGGGAAATTGAAAAGAGAAATGAGATTGTTCAGATTTTAGAAAAGGTCATCTTCAGGGAAATACACTCATCATAGAATTTCAATTATCTCTAATAGTTGATAATAGTAGCAGGATGGTAGCTTATACTGAAAGCATTTAATTTCTTTGGGTTTAAAGGTCTAACTTTTCAGTTTGTAAATGTAAGTGTAAATCAGGGCAGCACAACTTACCCTTCTGATTGTTTTTTTCTTTACAGCTTGTTTTGCAAATTTGGCCACAGAAGTGTTTTTCAGTCTGTCAAGCATGGACAGCATTTAATTAACCCATACAGATGCTTAAACATTTTTGTGGCTTCTATGTGTTTCTCTGTAGATTAAATATTCATAAAGAGCTGCCTTTCATTTTCTTAGCTGCTGTAGTTACTACAATTAAAATTACATGGTATGTCTCCAGCAATTTATATTACAGGAAGAATAAATACAATGGAAACTGCAGGGCATAAACAGCTTAGCCACTAAGAAAAATACATTATGTATTTCTTAACCTTTCCAGTATGCTGCAAGTTTTTATAAGCAAAAAAGCATACCTTAGCCACATGAAACTGCATACATGTGCACCTCCTCCTAGGTAATCTCCTGTCATGGCCTAGGACAACTAGGATTCACTAGATGGCTTCTAAGTCCCTTCTCACATGTTTTATATTATTCTAATAATAAATGAAAGCAGTTTATTTTTCTATTTCTTCAAAGAAACTGAGTAAAATTGTGCCTTCTTGGTACTAGCAATCTGCTAGTTTAAAATTTAGCAATCTCTGATGATGAATGTATCTTTGATAGCACATTTTCTAAATACCATCAAAGGATATTTTCAAATACATTTCAGAACCTAGCCAGAAGAAAAGTCCTTAGCTTTTGAACTTAAAATTCCTGGTTTGAACAAGAAGATGCTATTTTAATTTATTTAACTTGAGTAATACAGTCTTGAGATTATATCAGTCAAATTAAAGCATATTGTATACAATGGTAGTTCTACTGTAAATTTCACTTACTGTTATATTATCTTGGATCCCCTGGAAAAATAGAGTTTTATGACAGGCAAATCTGACAACATTATTGTGAGCTGGAGAATTTCTGTGTTAGCTTAAAAGATGAGGAAGTATTTATACAAATTGGTCTTATTCAGTCAAGAGGACAAATCAAGACTGAAAACGTGCAGACAAATCTCGGCAAAGTCATCTGTAATCTGTACATGGTAAATTAGCTCAAGGTCAGAGCCCAGACTCTGTGCTGCATTTCTCTGAGGCAATACACAGAAGGTAGAGGTCCAAGGGGGATGGGCCAGTTCGAAAGGACAGAGGAAAGGGAATGACACTTCATCCTGTATCTGTAACTCCCAGATGCTGAGCTGTCTCATGGTAAAATCCTCAAGAAGATCTGCTGTAGTGTATGGCAGTTTCCTCACTGCTGTTCACAAGCTGTTCCACAGCCCAGGGCTGCGAGGGCATACTGCTCTAAACTTTACCTAATAAGAAGGAACAAGGGCACATAGGCATGTTCATCCTTCACCAGGCAATCTTAACCCTTACTTTGGCCTCTGTATACATCTGAAACGGCTGTGCCAGGATTGGGTGTCTTCTCTTGTAGATCATAGCATCTGACTGCCTTTAATAAAGCAATTCACAAAGGAGACTGGTTCATGGAAATTGATATCAAACCAAACATAGGTTGGTAGAGACATATCTGAGATATGGAGACACTATGGACAGACTGTGAATTATGCTGATAATGTGTATCTAGCTATGCTTCCAATCTAAAGATCACAATTAGAAAACATTGCTAAGCTTTATGGTACATTATATTTATCCAGAAAACTTTTTTTTATATATATATATATATATATATATATATATATATTTCACTTATATTCTTTCTATATTATATATATATTTTCACTTATATATAAACACAACTTTTGTTGAGTGTAAGGTAGAAACATCTCTCTAAGGAACAACAGACCCACACTGTTCTCAAAACAAGTTTTCTTTTGACATATTACTTGAATAAAGACATTTTATGTGGTAAGAATGTGACCTACCTTTTTAGTCTGATTCACATTTACCAAACTGCAACTTCAAAATGCCTTTGCCATGAAGTTGAAGGATCTGGTTGTATTCTTTGGGCATTGCATGGAAACCTGGTTTAGGCAGCTGGTTGTCATAATAGTGGTGGCTGATTGGCGTCTTCTCTGTGGATTTTGAGAAAGGCCAGAAACCATAGAGCTTCACATTCTCACACAGCTCAAGAGCAGCACTAGTGATCATAAAACCAGATGACAATCGGTAGGCTTTCACACCCTTAGTTCTCCAGAACTGAGCAAGACTTTTCAGATAAGCAGGGTGAAAAAATATTGCCCTTTGGGTTGCTTTGAACTCTTGCAGTGTGTGATATACTTTAAAAGAAGTGGCTGTGTTGCTTCTGAAGGAAAATGCTGGCAATAAAAGGAAAGCATCTCCATAGACTGCAATGTTCTCCAGAAATTCTGTCTTCTTTTCATTTAGTTTGTTGTATCTGCAAAGTACAACATTTTAGGAAAAGACTGAATGGAATGCACTATTGATATAAATATTACAGACCAAAACAGCACAACTGCACTTGCATATATGAGCTATGAATTTGGCTGAACCCGTTCAGCCTGTCTACATTGCAAATTTATACCAACCTCTTACATGTTGTCATACATGCAGTTATGAAAATATGGCTTTATTGTATAAGAAGAACATACTTCAGAAGATTGAATTGGCAACACGGAAGCTACTGAAGCAGATCAAATTCACTGCTAATAAGTCCAGGACCTGTTTACAGAATTGATCAATTCAAGAAATTTCAAAGGAGAAAGAAAAATAAAATCATATTTATACTTTCTCTGTTTAAAAATACATGCACTATGATATGTATTGACTGTGTTTGTGAAATGTGTTTCTTCCATGAATAGGTATACAATAACCCCTCTTCAAAAGCTGGGTGTCTGCCCTGTTTGGGAATACAAGCATACATGTGAGCAGTCTTGGGAATGTTAAAGATTAGTGTGTGCTCAAGTTTTGCAGGGTCTTAGTTGCTTTTTATATACTTTTAAAATAGCTGAAAATATAGGCATGTCTATTTATCTCCTTCAACTACAAAGGGAATACATGGAGATCTGCAAAGACTTAGAGATTTAATTTCACAAATGATGAGGATATATCCTCAGATGCTTTGTGTCCCCAACAACCAGCAAAGAGACTTAGTTCTCACCACTGGGTAATTCTGTGCTCCCAAATACTGAATAGTGAACTTGCAACGCTATCCAAGAAGAGATACAAGACACAAGGGGGTCACTCAACTTGTTTCCTCTATAGATCTGACTTGCCTCAATCACCTCAACATGTGGTACTCGCACCCCCCCTTTAGGATTCAAAGCACTGAGTCCTCTCTTGTGGGTAGTCATCTATCTGAGCAGTGCATTTTCACATTTTAAGGACTACTGGAACCCACTTTCACAAATGGCTCCAGCAGAAACTGGAAAACTTAGTTTCATTTCTCTTCACAACTTGAGTAGGTTCAAACCCTCTCATGCAACACTTCAAATCAAGAGGACAGCAGCCACTGCCGTTTCCATTCAAAATGCTCATGGAGGAGTTATTAGTTACCTCCTGCACAACTGAACTCATGCGAGGAGTGATACACCCCTTCCCACCCTGAAGGGGTTTAAATTTACAGCTGCTGCTTCCCAGAAAAGCACCATTACCACCAGACTCTGAAACAAAATGAATGAGACACTCAGGCCCTCCTGTTGACCCTGGACCACTGTGCATGCAAGAAGCACAGAGCCAAAACAAGCAAGAAACACCTGAGTCTAGGAATGGTGGCTGAAGGGCCACATTCTACTCCAAGAATGTTCTCTGTTTTTACTTAGTGTAAATTATATAAAGAGCCTTCAGGACAGAACTTTGATCTCCGTTATTCCTTAGCTAGAAGCTTGAACAACTCAACCTCATCTTGTTTTCCTTTGGAGCTCTCCCACCGTAAGATGCAGTATAGCCCAGCTCCATCAGGACACATAAGAACTGTGCTCCTTTCATCCAAAAGTGTCACCTACATTGTACACCCTGACAGACACAGTCCAAAAGCTGATTAACCTTAACAATAATATCAGACTAGCCAAGTACCCAAATACAGAATTAGAAATTAAAGTGAGTAAAGTCAGAATAATTCTTCTGAGAGAAGAAACAAACTTAGTTCTGTTAAATGGTACCAAGTTGCTTCCTGCCCCTCCTTCAGAGGCATTTACAGACTTCTCTGAATATTTAAATAATTAATTTGTAAAAATCCTAAAGTTACCTCATAATCTCATTTTGTTCTCACACAGGTTTAGCTCCTGTTTACTTCAGTGTAACTCCTATTAACCCTGTTTGCCTAAAAAATGAGTGCAGCTGTGGCAGAACATCTTGATCAAGCCCATGCTTGATCATGCATCAGGTCAGTAGTCACCAATGATGCTGAGTCACTGAACAAAGTTTTCCTTCCTCATATTCTTGTGCCTCTCCACTAACGCCAATGAGCTAAATCTGGGTTTGGGGAAGCAATAATCCATCTTCTTTTAAGTCAAAAAAGGCTGGGTAAGCATCAAGGTAGTTAGTACTCATTGCAAAAAATCCAATTCTATCCCGGAATTGATGACAAATGCCTGTTAGTCAGTTCTATGCTCAGTATACTTCATCCTTCTCCCTTTAAAGGAGAAAAAAGAAAGCTTTGTCTCATGTTGTCTATTTGACAAATACAGATATGACAGACAATAAGATAGAGTAAGATCAGTAAGCAGTAAATAACATGCCACAGCAGTCCTTTTCATAGATAAGCTGCAGTTCCAGCCTGCTGAAGATGTCAGATTAGTCAGCCTGGCTTTATTAGATTTTCTTTTCATCAATAAGGTGAAAAAAAAACTTTGCTGAGAAAAAAGTGTTTGAGCAGCTTTCGTATGGATTGAGAAAATGGATGACAGAAATTGGGCCTCCATTCAGGAAACAGCCTTCATCAGAACAGCCTCTAAGCACATTACCTGAGAACATGAGCTTACAGTCCTACTGATAGAGTCAGACACACATTTCCAAGCTTTCCTCATTCATGATTACAATTCCTTTCTTATGCTGGGGGTTGTGAGGATCATAGCAGGGGGAAAGAAGAGGCTTGGGCTTGCAATCATCAATTTTACTCTGTCATAAATTGTGAACTGGTGTCAACCAAGGCACTTGCTAATCTGAGTATTGCTGACTCCTTTCTGGTACAAAAAAGGCCAGGTTTAACAGATTTCCTTTTAAACTGCTACATATTTTACATGGAAACTAAGGTTTAACGAAGTAATCTGCATGCACTGCTCTCCATGCTGGTATCCCAATGGATTTCCAACAACATCTAAAAAATGTCAAACAATTACACCATATTGCATAGAAGCTGATTTGCAGTGGTACTTACTTCTGAGCTATGATACTCGGATTAACAGTCACAAGGTTTGTTTTATTGCCAACATCTTTGCTAATGCTTCCTGTGGTTGGAGGCAGGTTACACCTGAAATTGAGAAACATTTACTCAAACAAATGCGCACCAGAAATGCTTTACAGTTATTATTTGCAAATTCCTCCTTGTTCAATGATACTCTCATATCAGCTCCCAGGGATCTCTAAGCACTTTACAAATATTAAATAAGGCTTATGGCACTTCTAGTAAAAATATTTAATCCACTGTACAGATGGTTAAAATAGGGCAGAGATAGCCCATTTTCATAAATCATCTCACAAATCAGGAGCAAATTTAAAATCCCTGAAGGAGCCAGTCTATGAATGCCCTATGTTCGCCGCTAGGAAATACTGCCCCTCTTGCCTAAACGATGCATATCTTTTGAAAGTCCTCTATTTTCTGCTTAAAAACAGTCTGATTAATACCAGTCCCTCAGCTTGCACAGCAGTGTTGACAGCTGTTTCGTGAGACAACAACAGCATAACTTGGCTAATTGCAGAAAACAGTGGTTTCTGTAAAAAGTAAAGAAAGAATTCTTTTAAAGCCAGTCACTTAGTAAGTTTAGCATCTTAGTATGTAGATTTCCCATTTTTAAGACAGTTCTCTAATTGGAAAGACTTTTTGTTTGTTTGTTTGTTTGTTTTTTAATTTCAAAAGCCTAAGTATTAGTCAAAAGCAGGAAGGGAAACAAAATCCAGCAGACTGTGTGATTGGATGTCACTGAGAGAAGAACCTTCACTTGCTAACTCTGTTCCCTTGCAGGTGTCACAAAGTGGGAGTCATGTACTGATAGAGTGAACCAAATTATGGTTTGTATATGCCTGGCTTTCTCCACAATCTATAAAGGCAGCTGAAAAAAAACTACTTAAATAAGATGCCTACGTTTTTAGATGTCTAACAGAAGGTGAAACAAATACTGTGGCCGTTAAATAACTGCATTAGTGAGCCAAGTGAAGGAAAAGTAGACCCTTTGCTAAATCAGAGGTAAATACGTGACACGTAATACCAGTCTTTCTAATTTCAATTTCAGAGTTTTCTTTATTCTCTTCTCCTAATTAAAGAAAAAAACAAGACAGGAAAAAAGTTCCCTCTCCTACAGAATGTTAAGTGAACAGAAATTTCAGGTTCTCAGATAATCACATTTCACATCACTGGCAAGGTATCTTTGCAATCATAAATCATGCATGTATCCATACAGTCCTCTTTTTACTTAAGAAGCAGAGTTCTGAAATCCACAAAACAGAAGGACTACCCTTGGAGAGGCAGAAATAAAGAAGTGTCAAGATCCCGCCTCATTGCTACAAGCTGGCATTGCCATGCTTCCAAGCCTGCCAAGTTTTTAGAAACGTTTCCACACCCTTCAGTAAGACAAAGCAGCTCTTACCTAAACACAAAGTCAGAACGATCAATTTCAGCTCCGCAGCTAGAATTTTTCAGAATGCCTCCATTTCCAACCACAGCACAGGTCTTGAAGTGATAGACTGAAAGAGGAGAGGACTGCAAACAGATAAAAAAACATAGCCAACGCTTTATAAATCTTTTGATTGTTTCCTTGTGTCTTTAGTTATTTGTCCTTGCAGGTTTAATCCAGTAAACCCCAGTGAAAGCATTCACCATTTACCATTTAGCAGAGAGGGTTGCCAGGCCTGGAGAGCCAAGAACCAAAAATAGGCACCAACAGACAGAGAACTGCTACTTCTGTCGTCAGTACCTCGAGGGAGTAACACTGGATTGTTAAAACTGGATGAATATCTTTTAAATACACTTAACACAAAAATTATCTAGTAATGGACTGAATCCTTTACAAGCTAAGGAACTACCTTGTATGAAGATAAATTAACCCATTTTCCTTTGCACTGTATCAGACTGGGGGTTGTCACATAGTCATTGACTTTCATCTAGCAGAAGGTAACTTTGTAAATGCTGATTACTTTGCCACCACGCAATTACATTTAATGTAAAATAACAAATTTAGAAGAACCTGAAGATGCTGTAAAGGATAATCATGCGCCCCAGCTTAACTCACGGTGGATATGAGGGCTAACTGAACAGGTTGCTGTTTCTGGCTGTTCACCCTTCCTAGTCTTCTTGTTAGAGGTTGCTGTCTTGCAGTGGGGAAGTTGAATGGGAGCTAAGCACATCCACTTGTGAACCAACACAGATCACAACCTCCCAAATTAATGTAAATTGTTGGCTGTTTCGGTTGACATTAATATAGTTGGCTGTTATCCCAGGGCTCTTGCTCAGCCTTTCCTGCTGTGGGAGCACTGACATTCAACAAAGAGGCCAACAGCTGGGCTACTTTGACTGCAGAAACTGAACCCACTTGTAAAACTGAGTCAAATCTTGCTTACACAAAGCGTTATCCTTCCACATCCTCTCATCAGCTTGCCCAAAGAGAAGCAGGAAGAGACAATGTTATAAAAAGCGTGGGGAAAGTGGCAGGCATCATGTTCCCTGGTAATATATTACAAAACATGTTGAAATATTTTGTTGTACTCTGAAAAGACAGTAGGAGAAGGCCAGACAACTCTGGCAAGCTTAGCAAGTATATATGCACATAAAACATACTACTTTTTTCTTTCATTCAGTTTAAATTTGGAATCACTGTAACCTCTGCTGCAATGAAGTTTTCAGTGATTCACAGCAGTGTGAAAAAGGACTAGACTCATGGTAGCTGGGATCTCACAAATCAAGAATGCCAGAGAGGGGTAAAAGGGCTCCCATGTGCTATTTTGAGAAATTAAGTACATCTCTGTGCCTCTGTTTATCTGGTCTCCAGAGTTTGTATGGTTATTACAAGTCCTGAGCTACAAAATCTGATTCTTTTGCTCAACCTCTGTTTCTGGCTGCAAAGGCCCACCCCAGCAGGCAGCAAAGCTGGTGAAAGGGCTGGAAGGAATGTCCTATGAGGACAAGGACTTTGGCCTTGTCTAGTTTGGAGAAGAGGAGGCTGAGGGGCAACTCATTACTCTCTACAGCTTCCTGAGGAGGTGAAGTGGAGAGGGAGGTGCTGATCTCTTCTCACAGGTATCCAGTGATAGAACACATGAGAACGATTCAAAGCTGCACCAGGGGAGGTTTAGACTGGACATTAGGAAGCATTTCTTTACTGAGGGTAGTCAAACATTGGAACAGGCTTCCTATAGAAGTGGTTGATGCCCCAAGCCTGCCAGCGTTTAAGAGGCTTTTGGACAATGCTCTTAATGACATGCTTTAACTTGGTCAGCCCTGAATTGATCAGGCAGTTGGACTAGATGATCATTGTAGGGCCCTTCCGACTGAAATGATTCTAGTCTAGTCTAGTCTAGTCTAGTCAGTATCAGGTATACCACCAAAATATCTTTCATAAGTTATATGCCCAAGCCTGCACTGGAAATGGCATGGAATACCAGAAATATGAAATGTTCCAGCCTGAAATGCCTTTGAAAATGGGAATGAGCAAAGCAAGGCAAATGTTCTCAGACGATTTACTCCTCAATTCAGCTGGCTGCCAAACTTGTGTTCTGTAGTAACTCTGCCTACAGTCTGATCTATGATACCCTGTCCATGCCTCCACCACTGCAGAGGAAGGCTAAAAAAAAAAGTCTTAGAAGGTGAATGAAGTAGTGTATACAGGGTGTGTGAAGGGTCTTTTTCAGAGGAATTAAACAAAGCAGCACTATTACTAACCCAAAATACATATGATACTGCAATAATAATAACAGGTGAAGATACAGTTCTTACCACAGGCAGCATCTTAAAAACGTCCTCTGTAATGAGGATGGTCTTTTTACTGTCCACTTCATAACTCATGTTACTTCCCAGTGGGGTGTTGTTTTGAGAAGCAATAAAACTGTGAACTGCATCACAGCAGGAAGCTAATTCTGATCTGCAAAAAAACCCAAACGAAACCTGCTCAAAGACTGGAAAACAAGTAGAAGAGTGGTGGTAGAGAACTAGATGAATGAAAACCAGTTCTAATTACCTAAACATCAAACAGCTATAGGAACCTGTATCATGTCATTTCCCTTGACTTGCTTTGCAGAGCAAGTCCATTTTCACAGCGAATGTTCAGAAACTAATCAGACCAAGAACTCCTTTCTTAAACTGTTTTTCTCTCTTGGTCTCCCCTTCCCACCCAGAAAAAGTTGTAATCAGTCTTCTCCTTATTAATTGCTAAGTTTATTATAGAAATACTGAGAGATTTCAGTCCCCAAAGATTTCAATCAACACAGAATGAGTGATTTAAGAGACTAGAAGGCTGAAGAAAGAAAGAACCAAGGAGGTGAAAAGAATGGTCATGGGAAGTACTGGCTGTAGTACTTAGTGAACAGCTAGATGATTGCAAGCCAATTCATTAATAATTCATTTCTGCAACTGTTCAGCATGACTTTCCTGTGCACAGTATCATAGATGTTAAATAAATTACATCACAACTTGTAATTAAAGATGATATCTTTGTGGTACAGACAGATAGCCTAGCTGCTCCCCAAAACACCTAGCAGAAGTCCTTAAATACATGAGTGCAAGGGATTCACTCAAACTTTATGTAGGAGCAAAGGCTATCACCCATCTTACAATTTCTGTTACCTCCAAACTATGTGTGCAAACATCCTATATTATTAACAGTAAAATGCAATGAAAAGCCCCACCAGAGCTGAAACACTATAATTCATTTCACTTTAGGGAATGATGTTCTCTCTGCTGCCACCGGATCCAGTTTTCAGACTACAAGGCTGAAATATTCATGGCCAGTCATTATCTATCAATTGGTAGGACATATCTATCTCATTAGGTGAGATACTAACAGAACTACTAACCATTTACAGAATAAAATCCATTAATAATAGAATTGCTTGGAATTTTGAAGAAGATAACACACTATGGAAAAAATAATAATTCCTATCCTAACACTGAAAGTTCATTGTGAAGAAAAAAAAAATATTTACAGTTAGAGCCAGAGGGATAGAAAAGTTTTATTTCATGCTTTTTCAGTGAGCATGGTAAACCAAACCAGTGTAACTAATTAAACAATATGGACCAAATTCTTGAAATAAGCTGACTTTAATTAGCTAAGACACAGGTAAAGAAGAGTTGCTTCATTTGACTTTATCAACAATGTACACAGAGCAAATATAATAATAATAATAATAATAATAATAATAATAATAATAATAATAATATCATCATTGTATTTCTGATAGAGATGAAGCATAGTCTAGAATATGAAAAAACCCAAGGATTATGTTTTCTGGAATACAGGGAAGAGAATGAACAGGTCTGGGATAACTTCAATCTCACTTCTCTTGAAATAATGGTCAAAATGGGGGAAAAAGGTTGGTAAGAGTGGTTTGATTCATACATAAAACACCAAAGGGAAGAGAACCATTTCAATAGCATATTAACCCATTTTGAATACTGAGCTCTGAAACTCCTCAAAAACAAAGTTTCAGGTGTGTGAGTAACACTGGGAATGACTGAATGCTGGGATGGCACAGTTCTGAAATAACTGTACTGGGAGAGTTACCAGGAAATGTTAATGGGAAATATTAGTGAGGGAGGAATCAGTAGGGCTCAGATTTCCACAAGCCATATTCAGCTCCACTCCCTGAACACAGTGATTCTCACAGTGATGCCTTGCTTGAAGCCTTAAGGGGCAGGAGGGGTCTGTGGTTAATGAAAGCAACTAGGTACAAGGGTGGGGATGGAACTGACTATACTCTTGTGGGTCAGCAGGTACACACATGGTGCAAACTACTGAGTTTTGATTTGAGTGATTTTGATTTGAGTAAAAACTATATACAAAAATACAAATGGAGCAACGAGGCACAAGAGTCAAATGATTAAGTCTGGGAACACTGGATGCTATTGAACCACTCTTGACTAAAGTCTACTTGCTTTTCTTTCTTGTACACTTTATCCTATAACCAGCTCTTCTAACATTAATAAGTACTGCAGTAATAAGAGGATTCAGATATCCCTGTCAGGTCCTGAGGGCACCACCAAGCCTCACTACCTCTGCCCAGCCCCCTAGGGTCACCCCCACCCTGCCCACAGCCCAGGACCTTATGTCAGTCCCCTGGGGCCATAAGTCCCTGCCCAGCAACAGGGACACCACAGCAGGGCCAGTCTCCAGCTGTGCCCAACCCATCCCCACTTTGGTGTCTGATGCCTGAGGCTAAGGCTGCCTCACTCCTGGCTGGGGGTGGGATGGGTCCGGCTGCCAGTCCCTGCTCTGGCGGCCAAGTTATTTGTGCTTGGATCCCACTCCCTGCCCCTTAGGGAGCAGCCATCTCTTACTGCTCCTTGGCAATCACATGGACATGAAGAATCACAAAACTCATACTTCTGATTTCCTTGAAGTTTTTCTTAGAGCTAAATGAAGCAGGACTAAATATTATCTGTGTCACCCACAGGATGTTCAGAGAAGGAATAATGCCCAAATATTCTTGCTCAGCTTTTGTAAAAGAGCTGTTTTGTGTATGATGGCTACCAGAACCTGAAAATGCAAAGTGATGATAGATAACATTCATTAATACAGATGACGCATTTTTGCTTTTTATTACTCATTCTAGAAGAACGAGTGCTTCAATAAAAGCAGAAACAGTCGGGAAGAAAAACAGATATCAGAATTAATAAGAAAGTAATAGTTTAAATTAATATTATGGATCCACTTAGGAAGTAAAACAGAGCCAGGCTAGTTCAGAAATGCAGTGAGAACAGGAGAATACATGTTGATTAATGATATATATTCTTATGCTACCTAAGAGCGTAGGTGCTAAAAATTTGGAGATAACAACAGAAACATCTCAGATCAAATCATGACACAGAATCCCACCATGCCCAAGCATCCATGTACCGAGCTCCAGTGGGAACACATGTAACCTGCAGACAGCAATACCCACTGGCAATGTATTTAGCGATCTGTTCATACAGGATTTTGTACAAGCTGTGACACATGGTAACCCTACAACTGACACCAAACAATGAGAAAGGGGTAGAGACTGGACAGGTCAAGCAATCTATGACTGCAGCCATCACCACAGTACTAATGGTCTCTGTCATGAGGTAATGACATCCTAAAGAGCACGTACTTCATAAGATTATGATATGTATTGTATAAGCCTATATGTAAGTGCTGTATGTAAGGTGTTGCAAAGCCAAGACAACATTTTCACTCATGTATCATGCCATCTGGGGAGAGAGAAATTGTTAAGATCCACCATACAAAGATGTTCCTAACCAGATGGAGGGATAAGAGACAAGAGTTAAAATCTTAAGAGCACCAAACAGTACTAACTTAAAGCCAAACTCTGATTTTTCACTGGAAGAGTAGAAAGTGATCCATGTTTGTTCTGATCATGAGAAAATGCTGAGATATGGGGACAACTCTTGGAAGATGGGATGTTGCTATACAGGCTGAGCATCCACCTCAGATACGTGTAAGAACATGGATGTAGCTTATGGTAAGAAGGTTTAAATTGCAGTTGTTAACAGACCTGCTTGGCTTGGGGGTTGCCCCAGAACAAAGTCTTTTCATGATCAGCATTAGAAGCCCAGAGCGAAGGAAGCTGGAGACAAAGTACCTCAGTTTTGTAGGGCACTAGGTTTGGAAAGTATCTCCTCTGGAGTATGGGTTGGTACTGCCAGTTTCTTATTTGGAGGAAGCCTTCTCTCCAACATTCCTCCTGCAAGTAGCTGGAAGCAGAGTAAGACTTAAGAGCTATTTTTAAATCCTGAGGCGTAACATCAACCACAGATATTTCTTATGCCAAGATAAAGCAGAAAGGGAGCTGATTGCATTATCTGGAAATTTCACTTGTAACATGTAAGGAACAAAATAAGTACCTGGAAAAAGACTACACCATTTGGACTGGTAAATACATACCTCATAAAGCTGAATAAATACAGTCATGATAGTCTTAATCAATAACCTGACTGGAGTGGTGTGTTGCATTTGTCTGTTAAGTTTTGTTTGTATCAGACAACATAGAGACATTGTTGCACTGGATAATGTTTTTTGATGCTCAGCAGGTGCTTCTGTTGAATTTCATCTTTTGTGGATCAAGGACGCTGGACCCGTTTTTGTACTGAAGTCAGCTGGGCTGGAATTTGGAGTCCACATGGCATCCAGATAATTTCTTCAGGTTTGTGCCTGCTAAGAACTTAAGAAAATACTGGATTCTAAAGCAAGTTATCAAAGCATTGAGATAAGCCAAAGGAATAATGTTGTTTTCCAACTGCTATGCATTTAAGTCCACACTGAACTGTGATCAGCAATAGAAGGCTGCTGCCTTGATTGTATATGTTTCCAAACACCTGTGTGTAACACAAACACTTCACATGGACAGTCCACTCTATTTAGTGGAAGTCAGTATCTGCAGGATCTAAACAAGCTGATGCAGTTTCTTTGCAGTTCCTGCAGTAGCTCTGTAGCCAAGAAGCTCAGTGTGAACTACTGCATTCCTCCTAGCAGCAAAATTAATTACTTTAGCTTGATTCTGCACTAATATATACATTTCATCCGGTTCAGCGCTTGCATACAGGCTACATGTGCCTGCTGTGTGTGGTGTGCACACATCTTCAAAAGACTGTAAGCATCTCAATATCTTTCTTCCAATAACTCAATCTGAACCAGCCCTAAGGGCTAAAGCAGCCAATGGTTAAGTCATCGGCTCGCAGTTTCTCAGCTGGTCCAAAACCTAACATTACCCTTATCCTGAGTAGAATGGGAAGAATCTATAATAAGGGTGAAATCTGTCCTTACGCAAAGAGCTTCTGCAGAGTTTAAAAACTCCCCACTCCTCCAAACTACTGATACAAGCACCAAGAGGACCTCTGATTCACCCTCCCCCAGTTAAGTAGGATGGCTTTTATTCAGAACACCTT